GGCAGACAGACAGGGCTAAATCGACTCAGCTCGTCGCCCTGATCAAGAATATATAAGTTAACGTAAGCAAAGTCAAAAGCAGTTCAACACCCTGCAACACGCGCTGCGCCAAAAATGCTGACCTAAGGTCTGCATTGCATCCGCTCCAAGCAGCAAAACAATTCTTAAGAATTATGGTCAAAGTAAACGAAACAAAACGTTTTTTTTAACTAGCGCCCGAGCAGGGACCAGCGCGTACAATATAGCCCAAAGTGTTCATACGTTGATACCGTGGCTGGTTCAAATAATTCTCAGAGTGAAACTCCCATAAATTCATTTGTGGCTGTGAAATTATTAACAAAATTAAGCACGACAATAAAATAAAAAGCACAAAAATAAAACAATTATTACGTGTAAAATATAAAGCACAAAATTAAAACAATTATTAAGCGCCAAACAACAAAAAATAAATAAAGCACAACAATAACTCAATTATTACGTGCCAAGCAGCAACCGTCAAGGCTCGAAACCTGAGTGGGACATCAAGACACCCAAAAAGTAGACTTTCGACCTTCTGCAGAGCATGACCATAGCTGCTATTATATTGTAAGTTAAAATAAGAAATTGTAAAAAAAAAACACAAGTAAACATTTTGTTTCAAAGAATAGATCAATTAAGTAATCAAAAACTGAATTAAAAAGTAAATATTTTGTTTCAAAGAATAGATCGAATAACAAGAGAGAGAGAAAAAAAAAGAAAATTATAATTACAGTTAATCATGACAAACCCAAGTAACTTAATAAGACCATCATTGTTGTCCGATGATGCGTCATCCTCCAGATCAGCACCCCCAATAACACCCAAATGAATATAGACCAACTAACACAATTAATTTCGAAAATTGTCAGCGAGACTCTAGCAATGAACAATACAGTTGAATCAATCAGACCAAGCCCTTTCGACGCCCCTGACGTATCAATCAGACCTGAATATAGTAATAGAATATCCAAATTAGACAAGGTTCCAGACATAGTCAAAGGTTTAAGAGAATTCAATGGAAATCCAGCTGAGTTTAGCTCCTGGAAGAAGAGTGTTGACAGAATAATGGAAATTTATACAGGACAGGAAGGCAGCCCTAGATATTTCGGCATCCTTCATACAATAAGAAACAAAATAACCGGACTAGCAGATACAGCATTAGAATCTTACAACGTACCACTCGACTGGAGTGACATTACTAAGTGCCTGACTCTACATTACGCTGATAAGGGATGAGGGATTTAACAACCCTAGAATATCAGATGACTGGACTGACTCAAGGTAATCAATCTGTTGAAGAATTCCATTCAGTCGTTTATAAACATTTGTCACTTATCCTTAACAAAGTGGGATGTATGAATGTGACCAGAGAATCTGAGCGATTACTGACTAAAGTATATCGCGATAAGGCACTTGACACCTTCGTAAGAGGTCTCCAAGGTGATCTTCCTAGACTTCTAGGAATTAAAGAACCCACCGACTTGCCACAAGCCCTTCATTTATGCCTCAAGTTAGAAAATCAAAAGTATGTCGCCTTCCAAGCCAACCAAAAAGACCGTATGCAATCATTCCGAGCTCCTCCAATAGCACAAAATAACATCCACGTCAACCAATTCAATCTTATAGGTTTTCAACAGTTTTAAAAAAAATAAAATAACACCTTATGGACAGAAGTTCAAGCAACAGCAAAGTTACACCTTCCTTACACCCTCGTCCGTCCGGACAACGATTCTTTCAACAGCCAAACTACAGTTGTCCTGTAGCACCCCTTCGTCCGTCTGGACCAAAACCTTACCCTCGTCCCAAACCCATGGACGTAGACAAGTCCATGCAAACGAAGCAGGTTAATTATATTAATCGCCCACATTTCGATATAGGAAAACGTCCTCCATACAACACAGGACCAGAACTAAAAAAACCACGAAATTATAGTATAGAAAGAGCCGAAGAAAACGAAAATCAAACTCACATAGAAGAACAAAGACAGGCAGAATCGGAACAATACGGTAACGCACACTATGCAGACGTAGAAAATCTAGACGACAACTCACCACACGAGTACGAATACTCGGGTGAAGATTATCAAGTTGGACATTCAGACATACATTTTGTAGAATAAAGTCCTCACTTCCATACTTTGAATGAAAGCTTGGAGGAGGAAAGACCCTGAAAATTTTAATTAACACTGGCTCGAACAATAATTATACCAAACCAAATTTAGTAAGAAACCCAAAAGAATATATAAAACCATTCGATGCAATCTCTGTAGGAGGTAACATAAAAATAACACAGCACATAGAAGCAAATTTATTTGACATTAAAGACGTAAGAATAAAATTCTTTCAATTGCCGACTCTAAAATCATTCGATGCCATTTTAGGTAAGGATAGTCTTAAGCAGCTAAATGCAGTAATCTTTTCTAACGACAACATTATGCCTTTAAAGAACAAATACAATATTCCTATCAAAGAAAAACGAACACAAGCAGTGTCTAAAGAACACATGTCTAAAGAACAATTCACTAGCATTACAAACTTAACAAAGAAATTCTCGAGCGTATTTTCAAAACCCAATGACAGATTATCATTTACCACCTGTGTCCAAGCAGAATTAAAAACCACCTCAAACGCTCCAATTTATACGAAATATTACCCTTATCCCATGTCTTTACAGCGAGAAGTAGAAGCACAAATACAAAAACTGCTAGACGGCGACATAATTCGCCCCTCTCGTTCTCCATATAACTCTCCTGCAATAATAGTACCAAAAAAGTTTGACGCATCTGGCGTAAAGAAATATAGATTAGTCATTGACTATAGGAAGTTAAATTCCGTAACAATCGAAATAAACGAGGTATTAGCACAGCTAGGAGACAACAAATTTAGATTCAGTTGCCCTAGAAGCATTTAATAAATTGAAAAGTTCATTAATATCAGACGATGTTATTCTCAAATATCTCGACTTCAAAAAAGAATTTCACCTGACTACCGATGCATCGAATCACGCAATCGGTGCAGTTCTCTGCCGAGACTGACACCCTATTTCTTTCATATCTAGAACATTGTGTAAAGCAGAAGAAAATTACGCAACAAATGAAAAAGAAATGTTAGCTATCGTTTGGGCTCTAAAGTCCCTCATGAATTACCTTTACGGAATACAGAATGATTAGAATATCAGATTGGAGGGTTCAGGACTAGAGTTTTTTTGTTATTTTTGCGTAACCTTCAAGTAACTTACCGTCAAATTTTTTTGGAACCGAAGACGTCTAATAGTTTGTAAAACAGAAATCATGTTTCTTCTTGTTTGATACTGTATTCGATTGAGAAGCGCCTCTCTGAACTTGAGTAACCGATCTTTGTTGGAATACTTTTTGTACCGCACGTAATACATTGGTGATCGAGCTTGTATAATTTTCTTGATTCGTTGAATATAGTTTTTCCATTATTAGGCATTCAAATCATTAACTTTAAAACATACCAAAAACTTCTTAACGACCTCGTATTGTTTAGCCACCATTGTACTCAGAAAATCTTTGGATATTTTGCACTGATCCAAAAGCAAACTTGGGTTGCTGAGAATGTTACGCATGTAAAAGGAATCTTGATTAAATTACGCCCAATTTGAAAATATGTATTATGTATCAATGTATTATAAAATGGGAAAGCGTTACCCCTATTTTCGTATCTCTACAACAAATGAAGCAGAAACCACATGAGCTAAACACCCTGCAAGGAGCAGATATTCCAATTCATTCACAAAAAATACATACAGACGGGTGGGCAGACGGACATGGCTATATATATGTATCTTTATGGCTATATATGTATAATGGGTTCTGGGATGCTTTTTATACCCTGAACCCATTGAAAATGGAAAATCAGGGTATAATGGTTTTGTTAAAATGTAAACAGGCAGAAGGAGGCGTGGCAGACCCCACAAATAATATATATCCTTGATCAGGGGGACGAGCTGAGTAGATTTGGCCCTGTCCGTCTGTCCGTCAGAGCTAGAGACCTCAAATTTTTTAAATGTCCGTACATCACTATCACTAAAAATCGATATCTCATCGATATTTGTTACCGATAAGAAAACCCTTATCGAAAATCAGTAATAAAATTATATCTTCTACAAGCACCTTAAAGCTAGAGTATTCAAATTTTAAATATATATTAAAACGCATTTTATAGAGTTTCGGTTTTTGTATATATATGATATTCCATATTCATGTTCAGTACGTTTTTATGCGCGATAATGAACATGTTCTTATTGCTATTGTACATTATCATTTTTTTTGTAAATTCCAATGGAAGTAAAAACTTACTTTCTTAAGTTCTTTAAAAAAAGAATGTCTATCCATGATTTGTCAATATATACCTGGTAGCAAATATCAAAGGCACGTTTTCGTCTTGCCATTTCTAATGGGCTCAATAATTCCTCCTAAGAATACAAAACATTTACAATAGATTATTGTATATCGAATATATATATATATATATATAAAAGTTTTTTTTTTTTTTTGCATTAACTTTGGATTCAGGAACGCTTAATATATCGCATTTATTTTGTTCCTTTAAGACTTTCCACAAAGGGCGATTGTCAACCTTCAATTTTTCGTTAAGCAAGTCTTTCACGTGGGACATCATGCGTTCGTTCTCTAATATAAATGGGCTTAGGCCATCCCCGCAGGCATCTTTTATATTTTCATCAACCTATTGAAAAAATTAAACTCAGTATCAAATAACAAAAACCCTGTTTGGTACATACCACAATCAACCTGTCCTCAAATGCTTTGGTCTTGTTACCAGTGAATACTCGCTTGTTATTATGAAGTTCAGCTTTAGCTTTCTCAAATTGGTTAAGCTCATATAATGCATCGCAAACTTCCAGATTTATTGGAGCATTCACTACAGACTTTAATCTTAAAATTCCTTAAAATGATCAAATACCAGATTCGGATTAAGTCGATAGCTACACGAAATTCAAAATTAAATATATTAAGCCTAGTGAAGGCTGCTAGACTACCTAAAGAGAAGATAGGACTTAAGAAAAGATGGGACATACACATACGGCATAAGCATGAATGACCTACAGTATGGGCTTAATTGTTGAATAACTTTTTTGAGACATAATTTATAAGTGGATTTTCAAATATATTTTAATCAATACAAAACAAACAAGTAAGAAAGCTCTAGTCGAGACTGCTCGACTACGAGATCCCCTGAA